TATATATATATATATATATACATGCAGCGGTAAGCATATGTGTACATACACACGGCGAGAGCTCCATTTAATTCGTTTTATTACGACAATCGATCCCGGCTCTTACGCATACGAATGAAAATTCATTAGCGTGCCTTTTTCCCTTTCTCTTTTTTTCAACAAACCTAACCTGGCATTCCACAGTGATCATCGTTGAACGCTCAAGTTCGCGAAAGTTCTGGACAATTGTACAAGCGCGCGCACGATAATTCAATTCTAACCTAACGTAGAGAAGAGAATCGTTCTTTGAACTCTCGTTTCACAATTCACGATGTCTGCGATTGGACTTCCTCTTACTATCGAATTCGGGTAAGACCAAGAATATTAAAATTTCATATAAATATGCATCATGCGATGCGACGATCAAGTATCACCGGGCGGAACGAACAAATCACGCCGTTTGTCGAATGTTTGCAGAGGTGGAGCAGAGTTGCTATTTGATGGAAAGAAGCGGCACGAGGTGGACTTACCCGGTGAGGAATGTAAGTATTTTCGTAAGTAACTCGTGTCCGTTAGTCTCTTTTGTCGTTAATAACCAATCGATTCTGTAGGGACGCTGAAACGACTGCTAAGCTGGCTGCGGGATAACCTCTTAACAGAACGGCCCGAGCTCTTTATGCAGGGGGACACGGTGTAAGTGTTGATCCTACGTACAGTCATACACTCCTTCAATATTTGTTTGCGACCACGAAACAAAAGAGCTTCAAAGAATTCTAATAACGCGATATCCGCAGTATTGCACCGTGTTGCTCGAACTGCAGATTTACTTTGCATATAAACGTGTCACATCAGTCACGTGAATCCGCACAATCCGCAAATGAATGGGATCGACCGACAACGGCGACGACCAACATCGTTAATGAAAATGGCCGCATACACTACGTATGATATATATACATTATTACTAGCGCATGGCGCATATCGCGCCGGTCGTACGCGCAATGCACAGATGTCAGTATCTGTATCTTCCGATGCATTCCGATATAGAATAGAGACCCTCAAGTTAAGAGTCTAGTCACAGGACAAATATGGCGGAAATACTTTGCTTTATATATTGCAGAGAGTATACATTATTATGAATGGCGGCAACATTAGGCTCTGTATATTTGGCAGAGTACATATCGTATATAAGTAGAATCATATACTATGGTATTACCTGCTATTATGGTTACGCGCTATTATCCATAGCAAAAAATCTCATCATCAGGCAAGATATATATATAAAAGAATTTATTGGTAACAAGAAAAATGCCTAATTTTTGTGTACTCGATTGTGCATATAGTTTAACGTGACAAAGGATTTTCTACACAACAAGTTCCGCCATGTTTGTCTCATTCAAAATTATCCTATCAGAATGTAGTTAAGAATGGCCAGACACTTACTTGAGTCTCTAGTGTCTCATACAAATTTGTCCAAATTCTCATAAGAGGCCTGTTCTTTTTAGCTCAATTTTTTGTACGATTCATCTTTTCTCTTTTCCTCTTTAACATGGAAAGAAAAGAAAGATAAACCAAGAACTTTAGCTAAAATAAAATAGATCTATGGACAACGACACATCGAACGTTAATTGGTGAAAACGGATGATAGGGGTAAATTTTTTAAGCCCCGCAACCGATTTTTTAAGCACTCGATGTCAAAGCGCTGTTTCTTTATGAGGATCCGGGCTTTAGGTCACAAACTTGCTGCATAAACATATGTATAAAGAAAATTATTCAATTGCATTTCTCTTTTAAAGTCGTAAAATGTGATTGGATAATTTTCTTTACGTTTATGCAAGTTGTGTGGCTATATCCTTGGTCTCATGAGATATGTTTAACGCGTATCGCGTAATTGCGTAACCAATCAGAAGCGATCCGCTGTTATAGTTTTACGTTTTACCGATTGCGGTTACGCGTAAAACTGAAAACATAATAGGTAATAGGAACAGGTAATAGGAACAAGAAATAAGAAATAACGAGCCATTCAATTAGAGGTCTGGGTATAATATTGAACTTGTACCCCAAAGCTTTGATTGGATGGCTAGTTATTCCCTGTTTTCTGTACTTATTTTACTATTGCCTGTGCTTATTGTTTCCAGTTTTACGCGCAAATACATCTCATGGGATTCCATCCTTAGACCGCAGCACAGATTTTTGCATTAGTCCGAATCTATAATAGGTGTTTTAAGCCTTAAGCCGTAAAATTTGACCAATTACTACAATTGAATGCGAGAAGAATAATCGACTATGATTCGTCCATTTTTTATGGCTAAAGACCTTAAAAATTTATTGTAGATCCGGACTTACACATCTTATGAAATCACAGGGTATTCATAGTCCGATCTTTCAAGATTGTCTTAAGTAATGTCTTAAGATGCTAATACGGCTCTCTGATTGGTTCGTGACTTCTCAAGACTGTATTTAAAACGGTCTTGAATATAAGATCTGACTATGAATATCAGCCATACTCAATTATTCTCCTCGCATTCAACTGTAATTAGTCAATTTCTACGGCTTAGAGTCTAAAAATTGTAGAAAATGGTTTAGGATCATAGTATTCGTAGTCAATTCTTATATTTAGGACTATATTAAGTACAGTCTTAAAATGTTATAAATCAATTAACACTTAGAACGACCGTTCATTAAGCGCTCAGTGAGCGGTTGTCATTCTGAATGCACCTATGGAAAAGCCTTGTTGTGTGTACATATACCCATACTATAGAAAAATGGTCATTTCTCAGTTTGTGAAAATTTCCGAGGGAAAGAATCCAAGTTCTTGGATGTACGAAATATTAGCCTTACACTGTAATCTAGACTGATATTTATAATTGGTTTTTATTATAAAATCGTTTTAAATAAGGGGTCTGTTCGACATGCTTACATTTTTTACACTTAAAATGAAATAGATATATTATATATTTGACGCTGAAAAGAGAAAAAGTGAAGAAGCTGAGTGTAAAAAGTGTAAGCAAGTCGAACAAACCTATTGTCTTAAGATGCTAATACTACTCTGTGATTGGCTTACGACATCTGTAAGTAAAACTGTAAATAAAACGCTTTTAATGTCCGTATTCATAGTCCGACCTTAAGGCTTCCTTAAATTTATCTTTAGATGCTCAGCAGCCAATGAAATAATTCATATCTAAAGAATATCTAAAGATAAATTTAAGTAAGCCTTAAATATAAGGCGTGATTATGAATACGAGTATAAATATAAGACTATAAATATCGACCCTAAATCTATCTACATATATGTATCTTCTTAGGCCGGAATCAGATGAGGACAATGAGGACAAATTTTAGCTTCTGTTGTTTGATTGGTAAAATTTCAATCTTTCAATCTTCAATGCGTATTGCGTAATCTAATTCCAGTATTTCCTTACATCGTACATTTTCTTACATGGTATGACGTATCTTGTCACGAAAAGTGCAATTGTTGTTTTTCGAGTAACAAATTAGACATTTTACATTAGATATTGAACGCAAAAAATTATGGTCCGTATTCAGAATACGGGCCTTTATAAACATATAAATGTGGAATTGTCCTGTATGAATCGATTTCTTGAGTAATCGCGTCTTTTGTAGCCGATTGAAAATTGTGGTAAAAAATTTACGGTATGATAACGTGATTTTGAATTTCATTATTATTCTCATTATCAATTTAATTTATGTTATGTTTTGGCATATTTTATTTAATTTTTTTTTTTTTTAATCGGTCTTGATAAATCAGATAATCAGAGATGAAAGAATCGATTTCTCGTCACCATTGAAAATTGTAATTTCGCAAATATGTCGGAAATCTATGATTTATCAGATTAAATATCGCATGTTAAGATGATCGCTTTTCACGTCGTTGATTAGTGTAGTGCTCGCTTTCGTGGCATAATAATAATGATATGTACAATGATTGGATTTGCGAGATGTTGTCTCTCGATAATTTTTACAAGATTAAAACGAGAAGTGAGAATCGATCCTGTATTTCCAAACAAGGTGAAAATTACAAAAATGAGCAAATTTATTAGATGTTGACCAATGAAATTATTAGTATTCTAATAAATTCGCTCATTTTTGTAATTTTCATCTCGTTTCAAGATACAGAATCGATCCCCTGATAGCGACATATACTTCACATTTTTCTCGATTTTAGTTTATTCTTTTTTTTACATTTCGCTCGAAGGAAAAAGGAAAAGAAAATATTGAAAATTCGCGAATTCGAGATCAAAACGATGAAATGGCGAAATATACGATACGCGATGCGTTTACATGATGCGAGCGAGCATAGTGAAGTCGGCTGCGAAAGTCGCGGTCGTGTCAATTCTATAGGCCAATTCTATAGGCTCAACGACTCGAATGGTATCAGCCAATCGGTTGAACGATATTGGCGAGACATCCATTTTGAAATTTTCGTTTTTGCGAGTGACAGTTTTTCGCAGTGAATGATCGGGGCTGATCGCGGCGGGTTTTCGTTCGCTCATTGTTTCATGTTCGTTTCGCGTTTGTTTCGCGCTTGTACCTCCAACTTCCCGTAATTGATGGAGGGTACGGTATCTGTAAGTTTTCGACACACAACACAATACGCTGGCAGCAGCGGAACGAGCAACTCGATTTAAAAAGTTTATCTTGTTTCTCTAGGAGACCAGGCATCTTAGTTCTGGTTAACGATGCTGACTGGGAATTACTGGTGAGTTTTTGGACATAGTGTCTGTTCTATTTACTGTATTTCATTTACACGTATATCTATGTGCAATATATTTCTCCTCGGATATCGTATATTGGAACAATTTTTATAAGAGAATTATGCCGATATATTTGATGATCGTAAATTATTTTGACTAAAAGTTCATAAAGTTTTTCAAGAATCATCCTTCGATTGCATCTTTCTCGGTCAATTTGGAGATAATTATTTACCTTCCCTCCCCCTCTCCCCCTCACCTCTAATCTTAATAAAAATACACTTATTCGACGTGTTTTCACTTAAGACGAAAGAATCTAGCAAAAAAAAAATGCAGCAATTGGCTTCGTGAATCGAGTTATTAAGCGTTAAAGTTGAAGACTTTAGAGATTAAGATATTTTCCGATTCGACAGCTCTATGTATACGTTCTGCATTAATTACACAAATTCACTGCTTTACGTACAAAAATTCACTGCCTTAAGCAAATTCTTTGCATTAGCATTGAATTTGTGTTTTTAAAGCAGTAAATGTGTTTTTAAAGCAATTTTAAAGCAGTGAATTTATGTAATTAATGCAGAACGTATACATAGAGCTATATCGAATCGGAATGTGATACATATCTCTAAAGTCTCTAACTTTAATGCTTAATAACTTGATTCACGAGACCGAGCATCACGTTTTTTTGCCAAATTCTTTTTCGTTTTAAGTGAAAACACAAATAAGTATATTTTTATTAAGATTTGAGGTAGGGAAGGGGGAGGTGATTATTCTAAATAATTACCAAAATTAATAATTGTTTTATCGCTTTTGGTAAAAAATCGAAGAACACCATTTGTGTTTATAATTAATTAAACTTTGAACTAATGCCATTTTTAATGAAATCAAAGTTGAACTTTTTATATAATCACTAAATTTCGCGTTACTTATCCTAATTCATGGAAAATTGTAAAATATTATCAAGATTGTAAACAAAAAAATAGTATATAATAAATTTAAAATTATTTATCTATTATATTTTTTAGTGGTAAACGAAAAATTCTCAGATTTGATTTAAAACATTTATAAAATTAAATTCATATATTTGATTTTTGCTTTTCTACTTTTTCACTACATTCTCGTTCAGGATAAATTTTTTATGTACGTCTTAAAAATATATTTCGAATTATTAAAATTTCATTTTAAGGAAAATCTTTTAAATATAGATTTAAATGCACAACGAGAATGGCAGACGGATTTAAATTCGAAAAGGATTGAATGGATTACTTAGCTACGTGATTCTTAAGTCGTCATACTGATATGAGAAGTTAATGCACCGTGTTCGGCAACTGAATTCTTTGAAGATGGGATTTATATTCTCTTTCCT